GCTCCCTTTCAGAGGTGGTCGGGTTCTGGTTTTCCCCTGAGGCACCCAAGCAGATGGTGAGGATCCCTCCCAGAGTGATTGGGTATTGAAAGGACCCAGTTACATGGCCACACCTGGGAGCAGAGGCTCACCCACATTAAAGAGACACAGCGATGGAAAAGTTCTGCAGTAGCAGTGGATCCTCTGGGCAACAGCAGTCCAACACCAAAACCTCAACCATCTGCCCTTTGAGCCGTGTCCCCCAGCTAAGAGACAGCCATAACCCCACTGCCTGTCCCTCCTCCCCCAGGCATGACTCCCAAATGCTCCTTTCCCTTGGCTGACTCCTTAGTGTGGGATGTAAGAGGTCTCAGCCACATCTTTTGTTTCTTCATGACCTGTATTTGTGCCCCTGTCAACCGCTGCCTTCACAGAGTCTTCCTTTCAGATGGGAAACAATTCCCTAAAGAATCCAAACCAAAAGAAGGGCCTCTACTTTGCTGTATTGAGACAAAAATAAATGCTACAAAACAGCTAAAATACAGAATCAAAAATAAATTCCTTAGCTTATAATGGCACAGCTCCTTATCAAATTAAGGGATCCCTAAATTTCTAGCTAAATACAATCTCACTCATTTTCAACATGTAAACAAGACAGCCAGTCCTGTCCTGCTGGGTCCCAGCAGCGCCTTGCAGCAGTCCAGCATCCACGTCAGGATTCTGGCCAACACGGGACTGTCCTGGAAACTAAGGCAGCTGATTTGGAGTTTGAGCAGGTACCCAAAGGTCAAGCCCAGTGGTGTTCCCTCAGGATATAGCAGTCCTGGGTGATCTCCCCTGACATGACATTGCCCACTCCTTGTGGCACCAGTTGCTTTCCTGTGGAATGTTCTAGCTGCCCCAAGAGTAAAGAGGGAGCTGGAGAAAGAGCTTGCCAGGCTGCTCTCCATCCTTTCCCAGCAATCCTGCTTAAGGGGAGAAGTCCAAGCTGAGCTCAAAGGTGTAAATGGAAGAGCCGTGCACAGGAAGGGTCAGTGGGAAGGATGATCCAGAAACCATTGCCCTGGCAGCCTGAGCTTGCTACCACAGAAGGCCTTGGAGCAGATCCTGCTGAGTGCCATCCCATGGCATGTGCAGGGAACCAGGGGCTCTGCTGGAGGGTGGGAAAGCTCTGTGGAGGGATGGGAACAGCTAGGGGTCCTGGTGGGGTGTTGAGGAGTTCTGTGAGCGTGTTTTGGGGGCGTTGGTGTTGGTGGGTGTGTTGGGAAGGAGTTGTCTGGAAGTGAGAGGTCTAGGCTGGAATTTGAGTCAGTTTGATGGCAGCATCCGTGGTTTGGCACAGCTTTGGTTATGGAGGACATAAGTGTACTAAAGAATTGGGGTAAATAAAAATTCGGAATAAAAGGTTTAAATAAAGTATGTGTAATTATAACTAATGAAAATATGGAATAAGGAATTCTCCTCCAGGTCGAGGTAGAATTCCTTTTCCAAAGTCACCGATTGCAAAAGAACCCCCCCCCCAGATAACAAGCTTCAGCAGGCTCATCAACTCGGAGGAAAGGACAGGACACAGGCCATCATAGAAACAAAAGAACTAGCCTGAAAGTCTACCTCAGGACAAAGGCAACGCCCGGCCAATTTCGGCCGGAGACCATCAAGCAAGACAAAAGGGACGAGCCCCAGGAAAATGGTCGTTACCAGAATTGAACACCACACCCGCCAAACCTATGCTACAGAAACTCAATCAAGAAAGACAAAGAAGAGACTACTCCTCCGAGATATCCATCGGCGCTAGCCCGGATCTCTCGACTCTGCTGTGATGAAATATGTTAAAATACATACAGACTCACTTTGCATTTGAGGAGACTCTGCCCGGACACTTACTGACTCAATGTTCTAGGCCAGGAAATCCATTCACCCGACAATCAGGGACACTTGGTGAATGGAAACTGGTTGGAATTCTAGCCTGGGGACATAAAATCCCTATAAAAACCCAGGCCAGAGAACCCTCAGACGTGGATTTGGGAACACCTATACCTTGCGTATAGACCCTGTCCACCCAGCGCTGCGCTGTCCATTTATTGTGGTTTTTCCTCGCTGTTCGTTGCTTTATTAATTTATAATAAATTATCTTTGTTAATCTTTAATCTGCCGTTGCATTTATAACATAAGGAATATCTGTGACTTTTCCTGTTAGTGGTCCTGGTTCTCATGCAAAAAAAGAAGAGGGGAGAGCTGTAATTTATTGGCCACCTAGATATCTGTTTCCTGAGTTTCTTGATCTGTTCTATGTGTCTTTTTCAGCTCAGGAGCAGAGAGTTCAGGGAAAGGGTTAGGGGGAAACAATGGAAACTGCAGCGGCTTTTCTTTTATTTATCTTTCTCTGTTAATCAATTATTTCAAAAATAGAAA